GGGGGGAATTTGTGGGAAGACCGGTCCATTTTGTTTTTAAACCACCAGTAAATACCACATTTTTTGTAACCCCCGGCATCAAATGAATTTGGACCAGACGGGCAGTCCGACTCCGCATTAGCGGCCGCCCCAACCGGTCAGTACTGGTAGTTTAAGGGCGACATACAGCGATCGTGCGGAGAATGGGCGCTGTAACAAAATATGAGGACCGGTCGTGTCCCTTCAATGTGCTCCCGTAAAATGCGAATAGAAAAAGCACTCGAAATTCAGGACAGCAATCTTGCAAGAGGCGACTTTGGCGATTTTTTGTGCTCAGAAGAATTCAGAGAAAAATCTGAAAATTTGAGAATCTATAGATTAGGTCATGGGTCTTCTTTTGACGATTGTATCCTCTCGTGGGTCCTTTTTTTTTTTTTTTTTTTAATTTGGACGATTTCTCGATTTATACGTGTCATCCTTGAAAGCGCAGGGGCCATGCTAGTCTTCTCTGTATCGTTCCAATTTTAACGGATGTCCCGAAGGACATGGGTCTTTTTTTCTTGATGCCTGGAGCCGTATTAACAAAAAATTTGGTTGGAGTTCAGTCTCGCTCAACGGGAATGTCACGCTGTTGAAGTTTTTGCCCTACAAACTCATGCAGGGTGGATTTTTTTTATTATTATTTTTTGGATCATATATTAAACTGATCAGAACAGATACTACACTTGATCTTAGCCAAAAGGCCGAGAAAGGTATTGCAGGGTGGATTTTCTTACTTCACTTGTATCTGAAAAGTTGTGAAAACATTCTAATACCAGGGAAAAGAGAAAAGAGTGTCCTGGTGTGTTTATTGCATGTCCCTTGGACTCGGCGCCAACGTTTCAATTTCTCTCTAGAGAATCTGATTAAGTCGTACAATTCCACAGATCTGTTTTTCTCCAGCCAAAGAAGGGGTAATCTCAAGCGCATTGCTGAGGGTGTTATTACTAATAACGTAGGGTATAACTGTCTCGGTTCTCTCGGCATCCGCATTAGATACCACGAGTGTCTTCGCAAGATGGAAAGCGCTGGGATTGCAAACTGCCCGATCGAGAAGCATGTTCGACCTACTTGTTTGTCTGAATTTCTGGTCTCCAGGTTGAGAGTAGTCTGGTGACTGGCAACAAGTCGGTTGGGCCAAGGTGATCCACAACCATCGGAGTTTTGCGAATAGATTGCGTCTTGATTTTTCATGTGCCTCTGTCCATGGTTTTCCCCGAAACTCCGATGGGGGGGCAACTCCGATGGGCATATCTCCTTCAGATTCTTCGATTTCCTGGGTGTACCGGTCACTCTGTCCAACGCGAAAAATGTCTGTTGTCCATCGACAAATGTATCGGAGGGCCGGGTCAAAGGTGCCATCCTTGCCGGTGGGTTAATGCGCTTACCCAACGCTGGTTTGATGCGTATCACTCGAAACGAACTTTTACAATGTTTTAAACCACCAGTACCTTTGTCAGTTCGAAAATACTCGGCCTCCGACCTTTCAGGAGGCCGAAACAAAACGGCGGCCGTCGATCAGATTGATCAACGCCAGGCTCGGCCTCCTGAAAGTTCGGGTACTGGCCAGGACTTGTCAAAACCGGACGCCAAAGGTACTGGTGGTTCCTCTTTGACCGATTCGTTCCTCTCTTTCTCTGATTCCGTGGAACGGCTCAACCAACTGAAAGGCTTGGTTCTGATGCCGAGCGATCACAACCATGGGGACACCTATGCATGTTGCCAATCGGTTTGTTGTGATGCGATGAACAATCTGTTTTTGAACAATCCAGGGTATGAATGAGCACGTGGATGAGAACGAGTACCGAATTATCAAAAAATGTATGTCGGAATTTTCTGAGTACAGGTGTCACAGGCTCGGCAAGTGGGGCGACAAGGGGCATATCGGGAACGTGTATGCGGTGCCTGAACACAAAGACCTTGGAAGATGGCGACCAATTTCAGCATCTTTACGACAAGGGACGTCTTGGGAACGTGTACGCGGGTGTCTAAACACAAAGGCCTTGGAAGATGGCGGCCAATTTCACCATCTTTATGACAAGGGACGTCTTGGGAACGTGTATGCGGGCGTTTAAACACGAAGGCACAAAGGCCTTGGAAGATGGCGGCCAATTTCACCATCTTTTATGGAACCAGGAGTAAGGGGTCTGTCACATTACTGGGCGGGGGGCTATTAACGCACTTCTCTGGGCACTTCCCTCCCCAGCATCTCCACTTCAATCTGCGCTCAACTTCCCTCGTCAAATCTCGTATCTCTGCGATCAATCAGGCTGTGAAGAAACATGTTTGAGGCTTCCTTGTCTCTGCCTCGTGTGGCATTCAAGATATGTTCACACGACTTCCGCATAAGAGTCCATTTTGAAATCTCTCTTGTGGGTGTGTCATTCTTTTAGGAGTAAAGACTTTTGAAGCGTTGTGGTCAACAAATTTTTGGCAAGGAGACTAGTTTTTCGAAGAAGTCTCGGGGAAAGGGTGAAGTTTTCCCAAATAATCAAGTCTACAATATTCGACGTTCGCTGCTCCTTCGTCGAGGCCTGCACCACTATCTTGAAATAGATTGTGGGTGTCCCGAAGGGAAAAAGCTTGAGCCCCGCTCTTGCTTCGTCTTCTTTGTTCGTACAGTGACTACTACTCCATCTCTTCTCTAGGATCGGACCGCAAGTATCTCTCTGGTCTACGGTTGGTGGATGATGTTGAGATCTTTCATCTTTTTCCCCACCTGTCCCAGGCGTATGTTCGAAAGGCGGGAAAAATCTACCGCAACTTCATCCATTGTTACGATGGCAACCTCGCCTTCCTATGGACGGATGATGGCAATGGATGCTGGGAGTTCTCAGGCTGTAACATCAAGACTTTCTCCCTGGAACTGGGTGTAAGATGCATCTCACAACCATGAAGAATCGAAGTTGTTTGTCCGAATCCGATTCCCTCAAACTCGTTTCTACGCAAGATTTTGTTTCCTACGGCCCTGTTCAGCAGAAGAAAGAAATTATATGTTGTCACTTGAGTCGATTATTGACCCACTCCTGTCCTCCAAAGGGGTGTGGGATCCGTGGGCCTCAATATTCTCTTTGCTCAATTAGTTTCCCGCTACCCCTCCCCCCGCCCTCTCCGTTCCGGCTGGCTTCCGTTCGACTCTCTCACTATTTCGCTTATTCTCTGCTCCCATACATATGGGCGACTGGGTCCTGGTCTGGCCTGATGGCCCAATGACACAGGACACCTAAGGATCCCCCGTCATGGTTTTGCTTTATTTAGGCGACCTCGACTCCAGAATCCTGTCATTCTTCACTTACATTCGCCAAGTGGTACGATGGGCACCGACCCTGTACGCCGTGGACCACCTCGGCTAAGCAATCATGGGTGCGCCTGCTTGCGCTGAATGGCGCTGGCTAGCTGGTTTTCGGTCCGGCCCCGGTTGATCGTACTCTGATGGGCTCTTGGCTTCGACCACGAGCAGTTTCTTTTTTCGGCGATGATGCACATTGCAAGGAGGCGCTCCTCAGATATGTCTCAGACCATCCCTCGCTCTCCCGTCTTTCCCTCTTTTGGCTCAAATCCGACACACTTTCTACGTCTGTGGCAGGAGCACGTCGCTGTAGGCGATCGGTTTTTCAAAATTCAAATTCCCCCCTTCTCTCTCTCTCTCTCTCTCTCTCTCTCTCTCTCTCTCTCTCTCTCTCTCTCTCTCTCTCTCTCTCTTCCTAATCTCCTCCCTGCCCCTTTTTTCTCTCTCCCTTTCTCTGCTCCTCCTCCTCTCTCCTCACTCTTTCCATCCCTCTTGCTACTATCTGACCTGAACTGCTCTCCTTTCCTGCTAGACGGTTTGAAGTACACCTTCGGCACCTGTCTCCATTCTACTTTTATACCGACATCCATCACCTTTGCTCTGTGCTCGCTGCCACCCCCTGCACAAACGGTTGAAGGTTTCTTTATTGCTCTGCCGCTAGTTGTGATTCCTTTCCCGACGGCCTCTCCGACTCTCCCTCTATGGCCTCTCCGACTCTCCCCGACGGCCTCTCCGACTCTCCCTCTATGGCCTCCAATTCTCTCTCTTACTGCTGAAGATGGACAGTAATTGAAGTACTGTGTGACACTGGAACATTATAAGACTTCGTTTGGTTAGTATGGCACGGGACTTTCTCGTAGACATCGCTCCAGTACTAATATGAGGCTCTCCCGGTTTGGTTAGTATGGCACGGGACTTTCTCGTAGACATCACTCCAGTACTAATACGAGTACTAATAGAATACTTCTGGCGGGCGGATGAAACGCCGCGTAGGGACTCGCCAGTATGGCACAGACATCTGTGTTTTCCTGAATATT